AATTAATTCAAGCTTGAAATAGAGATATTATATTATGTTGGCACAATGAGTCAACATAAAGGGAAAGAACAGGTGGTAACACACCAGGCTAACACTTTAGGATATTTTGCTGACATTCTCTTGATGCCCAAACGTGCGTCCTAGGCGGGCATGCACGCTTCGCTGGCCATACCTGCAAACTGTTAGACAGGGGCTGCCACGTGGTGTCCCAGCAGCCCCATCAGATGCAGTATGCTCCCTTTTGTAAGCGTGGCGTCTGATTTCATTCATTGGACCCTCTCTCTGCTTGTCCCTGGGATGGACTTGCACCCTGTATGTGTCATAAACCATCCTTTTTGGCATACTCTGCAGTTTCACTATCTTTATTAAGCAAGATCATCTTTTAAGAGAAAAGGATAAGCTATGCTGAATCCCTGTCAAGTCAAAGGAACATAAGGCATGGGGACAAACCATTTTCGAGTGACTCAGACTGCTCCCAATACCTTTTGAAAATGGTGCTCAAATGTTAAAATATTAACTTTTCTATAAGAGACAAAGATAGTTATTTCTATTAGTATATTTTCCTAAGCAATCTTAGCATAACTTTTTAAAACAACTGCATTTTGATTATGAAATTGCTTTATAATACCCAATGAGTTAAATAGGGTCAGCTATTATATAATTTCATCCTTTATTTATAAAACAAATTCTTGAAAAAACCCGCAAGTATTTCCATTAAGAGAGAACCCAGCGACGTCCCTGGTGGTCCAGTGGTTAAGACTTCATGCTTCTACCACACAGGGGGCGGGTTCGATCCCTGGTCAGGGAACTAAGATCCTACATACCAGGTACAGACAAAGTGGTTTTTTTTTTTTGTTTGTTTGTTTTTTTGCGGTACGCGGGCCTCTCACTGTTGTGGCCTCTCCCGTTGCGGAGCACAGGCTCCGGACGCGCAGGCTCAGAGGCCATGGCTCACGGGCCCAGCCGCTCTGCGGCATGTGGGATCCTCCCAGACCGGGGCACGAACCCGTGTCCCCTGCATCGGCAGGTGGACTCTCAACCACTGCGCCACCAGGGAAGCCCCCAGACAAAGTGTTTAAAAAAAAAAAAAAAAAAAGAGAGAGAGAGAGCCCAAAGACAGACTCATTACAGGTTATTAAATTGGAAATAAAAGAGAATGAGGAAAATGTTTTGTCATCACAAGTACACTCGAAAGAGCTTACAGTATTGAGGCCTTGTCCCTATCCAAGACTACACACAGGGGTTGTCAAAGCAGAGAGAGAGGTATGTCTTGGTGCTTGGATCATGGGTGGAGCAGGGACAGGGATGGGGTTGGGATTCCTGGTGGATGTGCACTCAGTTTCTCAATCCGTGAAGCTGTAGTGAGTGGAGGAATGAGCCCCTCTACAATTCCATCATGAGTGTCCAGCATCAGGGGGGAACCACACCTCAGCCTTGGGAGTGTGAGAGCAAACTGACCTGAGTTAGGATAGAAACCAGCCCTGAAATCCTCAAACAACTATATCAGGTTTTCAGTGGAACCATAAAATACAATGTCAACCACCCTCTTAATTGTGAGATGAGTATTTTAATCGAATGCAAGGAGAACGTTTCCGTGGTGTGTTTTCCATCCTCAGAGAAGACTCTTGTAGCAGAGCTCCACACGGTAGGCCTGTGCTTTCCTGTGAAGCCCTTCCCTGGGGCTGACAATCTTTCTTTTTTTTTTTTTTTTTGTGGTACCCAGGCCTCTCACTGTTGTGGCCTCTCCCGTTGCGGAGCACGGGGCCTAGCCACTCCGCAGCATGTGGGATCTTCCCAGACTGGGGCACGAACCCGTGTCCCCTGCATTGGCAGGTGGACTCTCAACCACTGCGCCACCAGGGAAGCCCAGGGGCTGGCAATCTTGAAAGGGACATAAGAAAATGTGTAGAGATTTCAGATCATAAAGGACAGCTTTGGCTTACAGTAAAGGGGGGTTGGAGAGAACCGGGGGAGTGGGCTCTGTGTTTCCTTAGCAACTGGTTTTACCATCACAACTATAATTGGTTCCATGAATTGGTGAGAAAAAGATTGTTAAGTTGAATGATAAGTTCTAGTGATAAGTTCTACTCACAGTGTGGAATTTTAGACAAATCAATCAACAGAATGGGACTCTGTCTTATTCTCTGCTCTACTCCCAGTGTCTAGAACAGTGCCTGGGGCACATAGTAAACATGAAACAAATATTTGTTGAATGAATAAGTGACTGCATTTAACCATCTGGCCCCATTTCACAGTCTGCAAACTTCAGATACAAGTATCTGTGAGGAAGGAAGACCCCTGCTGTGGGCTCAGCAGGTGAAAGAGCAGGTCCCCGAGACGCGCCAGTCTGTATTTTTGCCGTGTGCTATTGGGGATCAGGGCAATGAACTAATTACCCTGGAAATAATTCATCATTATGTGGAATTACTTGACAAGTATTTTGGCAGTGTGTGTGAACTTGACATCATCTTTAATTTTGAGAAGGCTTATTTTATTTTGGATGAGTTTCTTTTGGGAGAAGTTCTGGAAACATCCAAGAAAAATGTCCTTAAAGCAACTTAGCAGGCTGATCTACTGCAGGAGGAAGCTGAAATCCCACCTAGTGTTCCTGAAGGAACTGGACTGACATGAACTCCCCTCCCCCGCTGATGACTTCTTGTGGCAATTCACACACTGTAGATGGTCACTGCCTTCATGTCCATGTTGTAGCTAATGGTGTAAGATGACGTCTTGTCAGTATTACTGTTCTGCTAAGCTGCTTCATTCAGGCCTACACAATTTTTTTTTAAAGGGAACTTTGGTTAATCAAGTGATAACAAGGGACTTAAATATGAATTAGAATGAATGCAGGAAAAGAAAGATACCTTTTCTGGCTATTTTAAAGTTTATAGGTCTGTTTCTCTTGAATAGATTATTATCATTACCTTGATTATGTGTATCTATGAATATGACACAATCAGGCAATATACATTTATTAATTACTGTCTTTGGCAAAAAGGTTAAATTACTTTAAACCTGGTTTTATGAAACCAAACACTAGTGCATTTCAGCATATATGCAAATAAAGGGAATTGACAAGTCACACATCAAGTGAATGAAAATTTCACTCTGTGTTGAAACTTTAGGAAAAAAACAAATGCATACCAAAGACCCTTATTAGAAACTAAACACCTTAAAACAAAGGGAATACACAAAAGACTAATGGAATGATGCTGTTTTACACTAAAAATTATTTCTTAGGCATTCCAGACCTGGGACAAGGAACAGAGATCAGCTGTTTCATAATAGTAAGCATGTTATTTTTAAGGCCAAGGAACATTCAACTCCTGAGATAAGTTTCTTGTTGTCATTATCATTTAGTCACTTAGTTGGATTGTTTTTGATGCCTCCCCAAATAAAATGGAAATGTTGACTTACCTGGGATTCTTAATAACAGCATCTTACGGAAAATGTTTTACTCTCTTCACAAAGTGTTGCCTAAGTCATTGTTTAAAGCACGAATATTCCTTCCAGGGTGCTTGTTACAGCCAAATTTATTTTACTCCCCTATTGCTTCCCTCCACTTAGAAGTGCAGCAAACTTTGGGGCAGCTTCCGTCCCTTCTATGGCACTGCCTAGTTACTGGAAGTCATAAATATAAAAACGGATGCCACCTCTCATATGAACGTGTGAGTTGAATGAGGTAAAACGGCATTAGTGGGCTCTATATTTTTTAAGGATATACAGTTGTTTCAACTTCTACGTATCTAAACATGTCTTCACAGTTTACACTTTCATTTGTATCTGCTGGGCTGGATTAAGCTTTGTTGTGACTGTGACCAATATTCAGGCCACGTGAGCACTGTCTTAACACATCGCCAATTAGTTGTAATAAATGTTCAATGTACACCAAAAAAAAAAAAAAAGTATCTACGAGTATTGAGCAGAACAAATGAGATAAATCATGTAAAAGTGTTCTTCAAAGTATAAAACATGATATATGTTATAGATGTTGACAGATAATACAATATATAGTTCTTATAGATGTACATAGGTTTGAGATGTTCTGTTTCTTACATACTTCCCTGGACCTGATGAGGAGAGGTAAAAAGTCTCTGTCAAGAATCCAATGAGACTAACCCGTCATTAATGCCGTAAAGTATTCTGCAGCAGCTAAAGCTGCAACTACTTAATCGTTTCAGTAACTGAACTTTAATGATAATGCTTGTCTAATTTTTCCTTCGTGACCATGAAATTCTAGATGGTGACAATGGCAATCTAGTCCCTGGTTTAGAAATCTCCGATCAATCTTGCTTCTTTGTTGAAGTGGGCTACGTCTGCATACTGAACTCTTTCTCTCCACAGTTCCCACCCTCCTTAAGACATTCTGGGCTACTCGCCCCATGGCTGAGATACAAAGCGTCTCACGGCCCTCCACCGCCAGCAGTGTGGTCCTGAATCACACCATGGCAAGCCACAAGAGAAGAAGAAAATAACCAGGCATCTGGGCCCATTTAATACAACCTAGAAATATAGTACAAGTGGGATTGAATAACGTACTCTGATGGTCTTTAGGGAATGGATAAGGGTAGAAACCCTTAAATTTGAGGTTCACTTAGCAAAGAGCAAAGAGGGTTTTGATGACAAAAGAATAAATAGTAAGTGCTGAAGCGAGGTGTGGACAGTTCTCAAAATACTTTTAGTATTTTCTCTGTCTTTATGATCGCATTGGCAACATTAAGGAATGACGTAATCCCGGCTGGGATGTGTAAAAGTCCTTCCAAAAGTAACTACACTATATAAACTTTGAAACAAAGGGACTAACATGTTATTTGTAACAGAGCAATAAAGGAGTATGAAATTATGTCAAGGTCCCCTGAAGTCTGGTTCTGATGGGGCACGTTCTCAGCCTCAGTTCTAGTATCTGAAGAATTCATCCAACATCCCTAGGAGCCACTTCTTTAGAATGCGTACACTTTCTCATGTCACGTTGACTCACTCCCTTTCGCACCTTTTCTTACCTGTTTTTGCTCTTCTCCTAAACCGTCCCACATTGAAGCCACAATTTTAGAGACTTCACCAAAGGTAGCATTTGGATTTTGGCCCTTGATGGCAGCCTGAGTATCACGAAAGAATAACGCATAAGCAGACACAGGCTTCTGGGGCTCATTAGGGTCCTTCTTTTTCTTCTTTTTGGGGGTTTTTGGCTTCTTCCCCACGTCAGAGGCAGGTCGCTTCTCTCCACCATTGACCTGGAATAAAACACAATCTGAATTATAGAAGGACTAAGACAATTTGAGGACAAATCATATTGCTCTCCCCTGAGACGTACATAGATGCACTCACCCATACACATCACACAAACACAGACGTTTCTAAGGGACACTTGTTGTGCTGCTGTTGCTGTTTTTCAAGTAAAACTTATTTCATGTAATGTTCATATTCATCCTTTTCCAGCCTCGTTTGCATAACTTTAACCTAATATTATTGATTCTCTTTATACTACTACTGTACGGTTAGATATTATACCTTAACTCGCTAAACATTTTCTTGTTCTCACTCAGGAAGCTGAATGAGGAGCAGCATCGTGACTGACAGCAGCAAATTCCTCGTGTGGTAAACCCTACTGTATGAGCAATCTAACCTGTTTGCTTCTGGGGGCTTTATCCTTTTCCTCCTACTTATGATTTTTTTTTTTTTTTTTTTTTTTTTTGTTCGCGGGGCTCTCATCTCACTGATGCGGCCTCTCCTGTTGCGGAGCACAGGCTCCGAACGCACAGGCTCAGCGGCCATGGCTCACGGGCCCAGCCGCTCCGCGGCATGTGGGA